TCGGATTCCTCGTAAGTCGAAACATTTTTTCTACCGTTTATATTATTTTCTTTGATGGCAAACACTTCGCAGGTGTCACGTTTAAAATGCGTACTTTTATCTTTCTACTTCTGTTCAGCAAACACGAGGTGCTATTTTATTTCTTTATTTACGCACAAGCTAACGTTTCGGCGGGCGGATTTCGCCTTCCTCAGAGCCTGGAAGGGTCAAGTTGACAGCAATCCATTCGGCCAAACACCTCCATAACCAAACAGAGAAAACTCTAAACCAAGATTTCAATAATATTTAGCATAGCTCTGCACACTCACCGCTTTCTATGAGTCTTCCACTGAGTATGTCGCGTGAAGACCGACCGCACAGAATTCACATGGAAGCGTAATGTGCCTCTCCTCCCGTAATGCGTACTTTTATTTTCCTATAAGTAATCACATATCTTTACAATGGTATGAGCCGCTTGTCGTTTCACTATCTATTCAAAAGTTGATAAAAGCCGTTGGAGTAAGTGATTCTTGGTCTATCCCAACATATCATATCAGTACACGTGACAACCTAGGCTTTAGTGTAACGGTATTTCATAGCGAAAAATACTGTCCGCACCGAACTGCTTTCGAACTCACAGTGCTTAACTTTAATTTTATGCCTAATATCTCAGCACCATAGAAGTTAGATTTCGCAATATACCCTGCCATTAAAAAGAATGAGCATAGGCAGTAAATAAAAAAGGTTAAGGTTTTACCTAATACTTTATTCATGGCTGGGTGCAAATGCTACCACAATGATTCTGAGATATGAATAAAACATGGAATATCAAGCGAGCTTCGAATCCGCGATCACCCTTTTTATGCTCACGTGTTATGCACTGCACCATCGAGGCCCTTGCTTTGCCTTTCTCTCAGCCATGTTTTAATTCTATCGGTGCCATCACCCCTCAGCGGGAATGGTCTGGGTGGCAAAAATCGGCATTCAACCCATTGAGTTGAAGCCGCAGTCGAAATCGCAACGTTTCTCTTTTAACCCTTTTATTTACTGCCTTTTTCTTTTCAATGGCAGGATATGTTGCGAAATATAACTCGTATATAATGCTGAGATATTTGCGAAACTCCGGACCGCAGGTGTATGCGGTGGGGAACGAACGCGCGCTATTACCCTTTCCGGGGCGTAGCGCACTTCACCACCACACCATCGGGGTCCTTCGTTCTGCCTGTCTCTCATCCCGTTGACGGGTGATTGTTGATGGCAAAAGATCGATAGAAGTAGCCTGAGAGACAGGCAAAACGAAGGACCCGGATGGTGTGGTGGTGAAGTGCGCTACTCCCCGGAAAGGACAATAGCGCGCGTTCGTTCCTCACCGCATACACCTGCGGTCAGGAGTTTCGCAAATATCTCAGCATTATATACGAGTTTATCTTTTATTTACCGCCCTTAGGCCGATGGTCTTCGAATTGAAATCTAGAATGGAGATTCTGGTTGTGAAGTTTTTGTATAACCAATAAAGAATTTTTATATGCTGCGTAACCTCGTATTGACTGTCCAGAGTTCCCCCACTGATTCTGTCTCGACTGAGTCAAAAGTTTTCTTAAAATCGAGGAAAGTGAGATAGCGGTCTGTTCTACACTCGCGATATTTCAATGAGTCTTGTTATCGTGTGGATGTGGTCCATCGTACAGCATCCTTTGTTTAGCCAATCCTTTTGAGGATGATTCGAATGAAGGTTTGTAGACGCTAGACAACAGACAAATTGGGTGATAGTTGTCGTTGTCGTACAGATCTTCCTTTCCATGCAACAACACGGCTTTGCTGGTCTTTTATTATTATAAGCCTTGCATTTTGACTGGTTGAGTGTGAAGAGACTGGCCAGTTTGTTAATGAGGAAGTGAGGAAATGTTTTTGCACTATCCAGTTCAAACAAAGTGTTGTACGATTTTTCACTGATGTAATTGCACATGAGATTTCGGAAGAGAGAACGGCTACGACGGCGGGGCCATTCTCTCTAATTTCATACGAAACTGGGAGGATGTGGTTGCTTAAAAGAACAGAGTAGTAATCGCGGATGATTTTCTCCATTTCCTTTCTATAAGCTGTGCCCGTTCTGTCTGGGAGTTGCAATGCAACAATCTTGGTCCTGTAAACGGCGAAGCTGTGGTGGGCTTTGCGAATGTTCTTACCAAACTCTGCAGTTTCCGCCATAACTGCTGCTATTCTCTTTTTAAAAATTTCATTTAACTTCTTTCTGCAGAGCTTTGCGAATTCGCGCACAAGTTAGCGATTGCGTACTGTGCTATTTCACGTTAATATATTGGTTCGGGAGTTTATGAACGCATTTGTCACTCGGTGACTTTCGAACTCGGCCTTCATATCGCAACGTGAAGATACCAAGTAAGCCGGTCCTATTCTTCGCTGATTTTCTAATGACGATATCTTCCCGAGAGCCGATTAGTGATTCGAGTAAACTCCAATCTGTGGTGGTTATACGATTTTGTTACTTGGACCTTGAACGGCTTCTATCTTTTGTAGAAATCTTTCCTTTAGGGGAAATGCAATCTAACGCAAATGAGTCGACTGTCGTGTATAAAATTTTGGAACAGCAGTGGCAACTGTTACGCAAGACTTCAGTTTAGTATGACGTGGTTAATTTCTTATGATCTTCTCCATTGGGAGACCAACACGTCCACCGTTGAGACCGGGCCTTCTGGAATTGTGAGTTGTCATGGATGATTTCGGCCGTCATGATAGACTTAGGTAGCCGCTTACATTTTCCGTTCCATTCCAATTGCTGGGTCCCAAATTGACGTTCTTCAAACGTTTCTCTGGTTACAGATGTTGTAATCACGGGCGAGTATGATGTTGAAGAAGATATACTCTCCTCTGTATATAATTTTTCCAATTCCACGTTTAACACTTAACCTAGCCTTCTTTATAGCTTAGTGTGACAAAAGGATTGTTAAGGCTGGTATAGATCCACTTGTCGTCAACCGTAAAAGTCCAATGCGGATTGTTAATTTGTGAAATGATTATGTGTTTATCGTTAAACTCGTTTTGACGAGGACTTCAAATCCGCCGACTCCTCAATTGCCATGCGCTCGGAAGAACTTATTTTCTGGTGGCTGAGATTTCTGGTGATCTCCCTCTCTATACTCGTACTAAGCAGCGCTGCCGCATCGGGAGCTCTTTTGGAATCAAGGAAGAGGTACTCACGTATATTACGCATAGGATTTGATACTGCCGTGTAGCTTGATGAGTTTTGAATATGGGCGCTGGATACACTCACTATTAGCTTGCCGGTCCTTTCAGAGTAGAGGAGGAGTTTATCTGAGGCGATTCCTAGCTCCCTCACTTATAAAAACACGACGATGCTGAAAGCTGAGCAAAACTCGAAACCTTAGTTGAGCTTCGAGCCAGTGAACACCCTTTTCGAGGGCTCATACGTTATCCTCTGCACTAACCGAGGCTCTTGCATTTCGTTATTCTTCGCCAGCTTTTTTATCCTTATGGTGATATCAACGATCACCACGCAAGTTCAATGCCGATTTTTGCTTCCTAGATCATTTCTGTTGATGGGTGATTGTTGAAAGAGTCGTTGGGGTAAAAAATTGCTCGAGAAAAATGCAATGCAGAGGTTTCTGCTGAGGTGGTGGATAACGCCTAAGGCCTCAGCAAGAGTGCTCATTGGTTCGGATCCCAGCTGAGATTCAAAGTTTTGCTCCACATTTCAATATTCCTGTGGTTTTGTTTTACATAATACCTTTCCATGAGAAAGAATATGTTGTAGATAAAAACTAGAGCACCTTCCATATAGCTCGCATTCACTTTATTGTAGGCTTTTGCCCGAATTACTGTTTAGAATACAATTCGCATGAACGAAAACACATTCGAGTACACATACATGGGCATGACAACGTAAAACACAGATGGTTTGAATCAGCACAACAGAAACAGAGGCTCCATCACTGGATCCATCTGTGTCTCAACGAAGCACAAGCTCGCTTCTGGTCCTCGTTTATTCCCCTATTTACCACGTAAGGATATGCAATGTATCCCTGTGTAGTGGGACGGCTCGATTATATAGGAATACCAAGTAGCTAAGACGATTCGGTCGGAATTTGTTGCTCGCCTTTGTGTACGCCACGCGGGACTTCTTGTAGGTAGCAGTCACAATGGCGGAAACAAACTTGGGTAATTAAACCGTTTATCATAATTATACAACAAACATAGCAATACAATTTTACAGATAATGCAACAATGATACGGGCTATGAGTAGGCGTAACCTGATCACTGGTGTTCAGGTTGCTTGTGTCTGAAGAGATTGGGATAACAGTACAACTGTGTAATTAATGCAACCATGATACGATGATGTGTGATATTTGGCGATATGTAAGCTGGGTGGATAAAGGCGGAATTCAAATGGTAACAAGTGATACACTTGAAGGAATTAACGCGGACACTGGTGTCGGAGCACTNATGTGTGATATTTGGCGATATGTAAGCTGGGTGGATAAAGGCGGAATTGAGATGGTAACAAGTGGTACCCTTGAAGGAATTAACGCGGACACTGGTGTCGGAGCACTAAGGAATTGAGGGATCGGAAGCAGACCGGTCGAACGCGGCTAAGATTTCAGGACCAGTCCTATGGGCTGCCTGTATTACATCTGTAGTGGGTGGAGCTTTGCCAGAGAGAACTAAAGGCGGTGTCCGGAGAGGGGTTGCATGTGAAATGGTGCAAGTGTCTGTTCGGAGACTTTTTTGGAACGACAGATACTGAAAAGTGCATTCAGCTGACTGCTGCTGATTCCCTTTCCAGCCACCTGCGAGGCAATTGCATGAAACGGTTGTTAAGAGATGATTTACCGAATGTGCAAGAATAGATGTATGACGATTACGAATAGACAGGTGTTGTAGAAGACATAAGGTTATAATTGTTCTACATAGAGAACATTCCAATATTCGTGAAGAATGTTCTCTATACCTTGTGACTAATTGAAGTATAGCCTTTTCAGAGGTCTGTGGACTTTTAGAATATTATGACAGAATAACATGAGGCTTAGATATGTTTTTTTTTAATTTAGGCAACAGTTGTAGGGTTAAGGACCCAAAGAACCCTATTGCAGTTTGATCTTCGCGGCGATCGCTCGTACTTAACCGAATGGAGCACATCGTTCTTTATGGTCGGTAATATGATCGGAGGCAGCACCTTCTCTTATGCTGCTGATCGGCAAGTATAAAACTTTGTTCTTCGTCTAGTATTTATTCGTTTACCATTTTATCCATTCTCTGCAATGGTCCACCCCTCATCGTGGCGGAGAGTGAGTATGTGGGAATACCGGATGGACGAACTACGAGCTACCTCTTTCAGCGGATTCATACAAGCTAGGAAAGAATACAGTGGCTTCATTCAACTCTGCCCAACTAGGAGCAAACAAAGCAGCCTCGTAACGAAGTAAGAAGTCGCTCTCTAATACACAAGAGGCGGTGACTGCCTGTGTAGACGAACTGGGAAGCCTTGCCACGGCTACCCAAGCCTTCAAAGAGAAAAAATCTTGCTAGCCGGTAAATTATTAGTTGATTTCAAATTCTGCTGAATTCAACAGATTTTTTCGCCAAGATGGGCCGTAAAAGCATAAAGGATAAAGCTCTCGGAGTTGATCATTCCTTGAGGGATGCGCCATGTATTCGACTTCATTAAGTATTGTTGGAGGTGACTGAATGCAAATCTAGCCTTTACGACGACTCGCGGTGGCCTACCGATGTATCGAGCCAGTGCTGCTATCCTCTCAGATAAGTCTGGTACTAATTTTCCGGCCCCGGAGGGATGGAAGGCTTGGTGAGCCATGGGCGCGCGGATCGATTCCTGGCGCCTCCAACCACTGCGCCACACGCGTCCTAGATGGACCATACAGTAATCTAAGCATGACTACTCTACATATTTTTACGCAACAGTTTTTCCATATCTTGCACCTTTTCACCGTTTAATATCTCCATGCAACTCACGCAGTACGGATAATGTCTTTCAGTTCTTAACAAGATCCCCTTACCTGTCTCACGTAAGCCACCGTATCGGGGAGTCTTTTTAGGCCAAAGGAATGATATTCACTAGTTTTACTATCTTCATCTGCTAATACCAATTGGGAAGGGTCTCATGTTGTAGTGGAATCTCTATATAGTCATGAGCAGCAGGAAATTTTCCATATTCACTTAAACTTTACATTTAGCTTGATTGTCGAAGGCGATTCGTAAATCCCGATCTACTCAGTACTTGTGGCTTTCAAGCTCTTGATAAGTCAAGCCTGTGTGCTTCTTCTTATTCAACTTGCAAGTCTAACTACTTTTGATCCTTCTCAAAATGTTACTTGTAAAATAATGCCAGTCAGTTTTAAATGCAGCATGCAATTCTTGCAACTGCAATTTAAGGTTGATGTAGCTTAGTTTTTAATTGTATCTACCTTTAAGTCTTATCTCTGTCTTTTCCTAAGTTTTCTTGGCAATGGGATGCAATAGTCGTGGATAAAGCAAGAAGGGAGTTGTTGACTATCCCGGACCACCTCGGACCTTTTGTTTTTGTAAACGTTTGAACCATATGGACTAGTTCTCTGCACAAAAACGCATTTCAGTTTCGGAAGACGTCCGTTGCTACTAATTTGTCTTTCGTTCCAAGCTGTTTTCGCAATGCTGGCCTCCTTCAGCCCCTCTGTCTACACCTTCTGCATCTGCCGACTTTTTCAAGGAGCATGCTATACGGTTAGAAATCTTTTAACCATGCGACTTCTATTTTTGAAATTTCTTAACATTAGCCATTGACACTTCTCAGTGCAGTGCTAATCTGGATGGAAATTCAGGAAACAGGAGATTCTTTCAGGTTTATTTGACATGCTGTCACCAATAATCCACTAACTTTTGCAATACTTTATACGTTTTAGGGTTCCAATCTCGTTGCATGGGTAACCGCCTATGAACATACCCGTACTAATTTCCGTTGGTTCACGACATTTTTCTTCGGTGTTACTTGGGTAATCGGTTACTCAGTAACAGCTCTTCTTGCGTACATCTCCTCTACCTGGAGAACGATGATGCTTTGGGGAGCTGCGTCCACTTTCGTGTTCACTCTATGGTGCTGGAGGTGATAAAATTCCTTTTCTAATTCACTTTCTACTATACGGTAATTTTTCTTAACAAGAAAACGATTTTTTTCTAAAATTGATCGTTTTAACTTTTCGCTTGAACGCATAAACGTATCTGAAAGAAACAGCGCTTTAAAATACGGTGGGTCATTTCGTGCTTGGCAACCCAACCTCTAATTTTTTATGTTCCAAATTTTCAGACAACTGAATTCAGAGGTTAAAGGTGCCGTGCGATGCAGGTTTGTTAGTTCGATAGCATGGCCAGACAGACCAGGAACATAGTTCTTTCATTGTCAGCAGATTGCTAGCAGACTTGTTTAACTAAAAGAAAGAAAATACTGGCTTGATACATCTGCTTTTTTATTTCATTTTGTGCAACGCATCTTTCGCATCTGCTGTGCGGATAACAGTACTTCCTGCCATTTGATTCGTTTCCTCGCATCCACCATCTGCGAGAGCCTTCCAACTTTTGTGTGTAGGTTCGACTTCTGCTTGAGAATTTTCCTTCGTCATAAATGTCGTTGAATCAACTTTCCGATGAATCTTGAAATGGCTAAACTAGAGCGGTCTCACAGGTGGACTTCTCTCAGGTAATTCTGACAGAAATCGCCCAACCATGATGGCGATGAGAGGCTTGGCAAGCCCGTGCATGATTGAGCGAACACCGTACTCCTTTTGAACGGCATCACTTACTCTGCGCTACCGGCCCCTTTGATATATCGTTAGGCATATAAGCCACTGCATAAGCCAAATACGCATTCTTTCATCTCTACAATGCTTAGTGGAATCCAATTGATCGCGCCCCACTAGGGATTGATCGATGCCCACATAGTATGGCTAACTCTTCCAGTTTTTCTGAAGTTTTCGTATTTGAACGTTAGGTTCAACTTTCAAAAACCATTTTCTTAGTGACATATTCACTTACTGACCATGGTTCTTAATATAGGTAAATTTTCAGAAAACAGAGCAATGAAAAAATAGAAATATGACCATGAGGAATTCCTTGAACCTGTTAAGGGCTATTTTTCGCCTTTTTTCTGATTTTCATATCTACTCCTAAGCATGGATGCTTTCGAGTTGTTTATGAAGTCTCTTTGCAGATTTGTTCCTGAGACACTTCATTTTCTTGTCTCCAAGCGTCGAGCTAAAAGCATTGAAAAATGGCTAATCGGGATCGACTACTCGCCTCCCTACCACACTGACATAAGCGATTTGATCCAACCACAGCACTACGAATGTTCGTCAGCAGACAAGTGAGTGTTGGATTAAATTTGTGTTAACTGTAGCCGAGCCAAAACAAGAGAAGACGATAATAAACAGGCTCAAATTTTTTATCACTCATTGTCTTCTTTAACGGAGGCACCTCGTAATTTGCATGAACCATCTCGTACCTCTTTATTACCCTTTTTTTTTCGGTTCCTTCTCGACTGTCGTCCATGCTTCAACCCTATCACTTACGTTTGCGATGATTATCAAATTTACCTTCAATGTCCTTATTCTCTCCCTCGCTCACGGTTTTACTTGCATCCAGGAGTACAGCTGTAGTTGAAACGAAAGCGACATAGTCTTATTCATAGCTGGCCAGGAGGCTGTCAAAAATTTTAGAAAACCTTTTTTTCGAAAAAGTGGATTAAAAGAGATGTGATTATTTTCTCAGTTTGCTGCAAAAGTAATTCTGAATTTCAACTCATAACTGATCTCAAGCAAATTGCATTATTTTGGTATCTTCGAATTTTGAAGTTCAGTAGACGACAGAGTCACTGGAGGAATTCTTAGAAGTAGTTCAATTCTTGGAGTTTTGCTTTTCTAGTAACTGACTCAATACTTGGAGAAAGTTCGGTGAAATAAATTCTACCTAACTACCATGACTGCAGCGTGTGAGGGAGGGTTTCTTAAGTTAGATCAATGAAATTGTGAAGTGTTTGTTAGGTCAAATGTGGTTGGACCTTGTTCGTCAGTAAAATTTAATGCATGACAGTTGCAGACATTCCAGTACCTGGTGGGTTTTTTCGATTTTGACAACACTTATTTACTTTGGTACTTTGGCGAAGATTCAAAAGATTACACTGGACGATTCCATAGGCCACCCAAAGTTTCCATACATTATGTACAAATTCGGCCTCTGAAAATTCTAGAAGCTTAATCTTGAGTTAACCACAATGCCAATGTCTTCGATTGTCGTATGAAATTCACTCTTTATCATCCTCATAATGCGATCAAGAAATCACCATGATCATCTACAATGGAACTGGGTTTCTCAGTTGACCATTCTAGACATGTGTGCTGCAGTTTTCTAGGACGTTTTCTTTACATTACTTCTTTGTTGCTAAGATTGAAGACTTTGTATTAGGTGGTTCTTCTTGTCGAAGACGTAGTAGAGAAGCTATAATTTTTATTGTCTAGAAGGAGCACAGAAAAGAATTTATGGTGACGACCTCGCTATTCGTTAAATTCATGTGGTATCAGCTTATAGAGTTTTTTTCCTTTCCGTTGCCTTCCAGATGAGAAATGATTGGGTCATCGTAAATATTGAGTCATTCTACGGCCATAGTATACTTTTCGGGAAGATGACTTCAGTGATCGGGTTCAGATGGTCGTTGATAATAGGTTGCTACGAGCGTTTGGGTAATGAAAACTCATGTCTTCTTTAAAAAATAACTACAAAATCCTAGATAGGATCTCTGCATTGTGGTTCGGAATCTCTTCCTCTGTCGGCACTTTGATGACATTTGAAGTGCTGGTACAATTCGCAATTACTTTTGCATTACCCTAACACTTCGTCCTCGACCGTTCGGTTAGCTAATTGTATGATTGGCTGCCGTAACAGAATCGTTATTCTGATGGAGAAATCCGAGTTCCAACTCTCCGTCTGGTAGAAAAAGATTGACAAATTCCTGAAAACACCCTAGCAAAGCTTTCTTTCTACTCTAAAAAAAACCATTTTCGACTGGCATTCAAAATTTCCACGAAGAGATGAGACGATAGTTCCTGAAGCTGAACCTAAACTAGATGTAGACCTTACCACTTCTATGGATGACCGTTGCAAGAAAACGAAAGAACTCAAGGAAATGTTTATACTTGCGCAACATGTGAAGGAGGATTATCTACAAATGTCTAATTAGTAGATAGGGTCCCGTCGGTTTGTACACACATTTTTATAATACTCAAGGTCAGCTTTCTATTCATCTAACCACTGATCGAGAGCATGTTTTCTTGATAACCATGTACGAGGTTGTATTATACTTTTTGCCTACAAAAGCTGACGTTTCGGCGGATTTCACCTTGTTCAGAGCTTGGAAAGGTCAAGTTGACGCCGAAGTTTCTTCAAAAAAGGCCAAATCCGCTGGAACGTCGGCTTTTGCAATAGAGAGTATAACAACATTTGTTTCTATTTGTGAATTATCTGAGCCACTAAAAGGGGATTTAGTTGCAGAAAACGTTGTTTCGGTTCCGGTCTATTCTTTCCATTTTTTCTTTTCGTTGGCTCAAAATCTCAAGCATAAATAAAAATTTTCTTGGAGCAACTTCTATGATCATCGCGAGTCAAATAAAACTATTCAACTGGAAGTCTACGTGCTACAATGTCCCTATCTTTTCGTTTTCCGTTAATTTTCTGGGAAATACTCAGTAATTCCAAGAATTTTTAGGACCTCGTTCTTTCACGAAATTCGAGTGCACAAAATCTTTATTCTCTACTGCTTAGTCCAACTCTACTTGTGGTACGGTAATGGCGTTTTACGTGAAGTTGCAGTCAAGGAACTACTTCGGTATTCCTACTTATTCAGGACTTGCGACAACTTCATCTATTTCGGATTGTCGCTCTACAGTACCAAATTGGCTGGCAACACTTACGCTAATTATTTGCTGATGGGTGTTGTCGAACTACCAGCATATGTGCTATCGCCAATTTTTCTGGAGAAGTATGAATTAGCACTTTTCATGAAAGAGTTACAAATTCACCCACTTAGCCAAAAATAAGAGTGCCCAGTGTTTATTGAGTCTCAGTTCCTATTGATCGATTAGATGAAAATTTAAAGGTTTATTCATTAACTGTTTGATAAGAAAGTTTCTCTTGCGTGACGCTTAAGATGTGGAAGGAAGTTGGTCGTTTCTGGAACGCATTTATTGGCTTCGATATGCTTCTTACTGCCGGCCTTTTCAGTGGGTTAGTCTCTTTTTATTCAAAGCTTGCTGTTTCCTTCAACCTAACCGGGATCATTAAATGTTGAGTCTTCATAACTGCATTCCTTTATGGCTTTTCGTGCACGATTTCATAGACCTACGCTAGACTAGAGTGCATCGATTATCTCGCCACCATAGAGGATATAGAAATGTTGATCCTGGACGTTACCATCACTACCATGAGAAACAACCCCATATATCACCTCCAGTGGGACGTGGTTTAAGTTACCCATGCTGAGAACCTTACCATTTATTTTGCTGTTATCACCGTTTTCTTCAATTGAATTTCCGCTGCTGTAGTCTTCAAGTTTCCGACGTCACTGATTTGCCATTTCAGCCGAGACGTGGCTATCGCTGTTTTGCTGGATGCTCGGCAAATTCTCGATCAGCTGCTCTTTCATGTCTCTTTTCGTTTACGCCAGTGAAGTCTTCCCTACTTCCATACGAAATGTCTCTGTGGGTCTGTGCTCAGTTCTTTCACGAGGAGGAGCAATCGCCGCTCCGTACATCAGTCTATTGGTGTGTGAAATGTTTGAAAAACGATTATGCAGATTATTCCTCACTTTCTTTTCATCATTTCTTTATTCATTTCGGTTTCTCCCACCTAACTTATTGGTCGTGTTTAAAATTCTATTTGTTTAACCGTTCGTTAAATTTTGCTAAGTTATAACGATTTGCACTTACAAAATAAAATAGATCTTTATAAAGAAGTATAGATATAAATAAGCAGAAATAGAGATTGGAAAAATTTCAAATGATTCCATTATTTTTACACCGTTTTGTTCGCAGGTCTTAAGATCAAGGGAAATGGTCGATAAATCATAATTTGCGATTATGTTATTAATGTGTCGTTTTCTTGTTCAGCAATCGCGAGGTTTTTAAACAGCATACATTTCCTTCCATAGAAAAACACAATGCAACACAACCGTAGCTGACGTTTCGGCAGTATCGCCTTTTTCAGAGCCTGGAAGGGTATACTGATATACAATCTACTAGGCCAAACGCTTCAATAACACTTACAAAAAGACGAAAAACTCTCCTCTGATAATTACATGATCAACAACTTCTCGAAAAAACCCACCGCTTTTTTCGTGACTTCCAATGAGGAAGTTTAGAACAGCTGGTTATAGTCGCATATGGTTGCCGACTGCATCATCCCGCATCAGAAATTGGTGCGAACATACGGGATCAGCTCGCGTATGACATCCGGGTATTCATCCCTGCTATTCATTGTAGGTTTTTCGCCTCTTTGTAAGTGTTATTGAAGCGTGTGGCCTAGTAGATTGTATATTAGTTTACCCTTCCAGACTCTGAAGAAGGCGATACTGCCGAAACGTCAGCTAGTGTTGTGTTGTACTGTGTTTTTCTATGGAAGTAAATGTATGCTGTTTAAAAACCTCGCGAATGCTGAACAAGAAAACGACACATTCATATTCCAATGCTGAGGTTAATAGAAAGTCGATCCTGTGAACGATTATGTTATTGTTAATGCTCCCAACGGTCTTCCTCTGATCCACAAGGGTGACGACTATCTGTGGTGGTGACGACCTGGGACAGACTTTGACCTGGCTGACCTCGGCACTCCAGGGAACCACAATGACAAAACTAGCAAAACCCCGAAAAAATGAAGATTGTGCTGGAGCTCGCACAACCAGGAAGGACGGGCCATCAAAGTATCATAGTAATTAAAGTAAAGTTGAAGTTAATATTCGTAACGGTGAAATCAATGCGCAATATATATGCGTATGTATATGTATGTGTGTATAATATATATATATATATATGTATATATATACCTACTTATATACAATGATTGTTTTCGTCAGAGTGAAAAGTACCAATGTAGGAGAACTTCTCTTATACTGTGTCTATGAAGTTTTGCTCGGAAGGCTCTTAGCGGAAAACTTTATTGAAGGACAGCCTTCATATTCATCATATCAACCAAATCTTCTCGTGCGCCTATTATCCGTGTAATACTGGATTTCGCTTAAGGTCATGAGTTAGTAAGGTACTAAGTATCACTCATTGTTACTCGTTGCCCTTCTCAACGACTCGGACGAAACTCTATCGCATCGTTTAGTTATTCTTCGTTTCCATTCATTTCAGCAGAGGATAAGTGTCATCGATTGTTGCTCAACAAAATGTGCAACAAATGAGAGCAAATTAAAGGTCTTCTTCGATCAGATGAAGTGCTCTGAGACGAAAAGTCCTGTGTACTTGTTGTCGAACACTTCAACGGTAGATAGGCCATGAAAGAAAGTACAGGGTCCGGAAATTTGTAATAATGACCGAAATAGGAATGGAAACCATCTTCTTGGGCTACTGTCCACATCTTGCATGAAAATTTACTTCTTGGGAAGTAAAGTCACCAGTGGACATTGGAATCGCGTAATCGAACCACTCATCCGGAGACCTTTCTCGCAAACACAAAGTGGTGCCGTGTTGATAGCACTACAGAACCATCTTCGGAGAATCTCCTTATTCGTTGGAAGATTCGAATTAGCAGTAACTTTGGAAGAACTCTTGCCATAATCCAGGAAATCCAAGTGGTGTGTTATGAGAACAATTCTGGTCAGAATCCTTTTTATATTACTTTTAGATTAAAAACGACCTGAACAGAATTACGAACTTTAAAGGTACTCTACAGCAAGCCTTATTTCTTCAAACAAGAAGCTTTGACCACACCTTTTTCATCATCAATGAGAAGAAAAACTGGACAGTACTGTAACAATTACTTAACGCGGTTAATATGAAGTGGAGCTCGCAATGCCAAAGGGAAGAAATTGTTCTAAAGATTTTCAGAAAGAGCTCGCTTAAATTGATGTCATCTGTGTGAACATAGTGTTCCGCTATGGATTATAATGAAAAAAATAGCATTACTGGCACCTCCTCATGATATGCAATTCATAAGAGCAAAGTACTGCTTTGACATTTTCAGTTGCACAACCCCGTCCAAGGCCTTTAAATGATCGCGGGGGAAAACTAACCACGATTTTATTCTTTGTGGGATGAGTTGCGATCGAGAACATAAACAGAAGCATAGATTCAAAGCCAAACATCACTATCGACTTTCTTCAAGCTGGAAATCAAAAATCCACTTCACTTCACGACCTGTATCACAAAATTTCTTCAAAATCACAATCTTAACCTTTTTATATACTGCCCACTCTTTTTAATAGCTATGTTGCGAAATATAACTTCTATGATGCTGAGATATTTCGCAACATACTCTACCACTAAAAAGAGTAGACAGTAAATAAAAAGGTTAAGATTGTGACTATAGCTACAGCCTCAGCTTAACCGGATTCATTGCCGATTTGGGCTCCCCAGATCAATCCCGTTGACGGGTGATTGCTGATGGCAAAAGATCGATAGAACTAGTGAGAGACAAGCGAAACGAAAGAGCCGCATGGTGTGATGGTGAACACGTTGTTTCCCGGAAAGGGTAATATCGCCTTCATTTCCCACCGCAGACACTGCAGACACGTGGCAGTAGATTTCAGTAGAGGATAACATCATTCATTTCCTTTGGCCTTTCTCGACCGCAACAAAATTTTCGGAAAATTGGAAGCAAAATTATCCTAAGCGTATGTCGATCAGCCGAACAACCGATGCACTCAAAAATACAATAGACCTAAGATGTCTAAAATCGGATGGCTCGGACATGTGATTCGAATTAGTGGCAATCAGTGGACATAGAGCATTAGTGCCTGAAAACCTCAAGATGTCAGACGCACAGCAGGGTGATCGCCGTTTTAGAATTCTCTACGAAAATCCTAGAAAAAAGTTATAAAGTGCAGTGATTTCCTAGAGTAAGCAGCAAATCCACTGCGTTATTCTTACACACGAAAAAGATAAACTGATGCTTTACTGGTGCTCGCTCAAGTCCCTCGATGATCAGTGGTAGGTGAGGGATAATAGGAGAAATTTATTCCTCACACCTCTGTAAGGAGTAAAAATTCCTGCTTTATCCACCACATAATCACGTTTTCATGAAGCTAAAGCACAAGAGTTTTTGAAGACCTCGGCGAAGCAAGGAAATAGACAACGTTAGGCATCAAAAAGGATACAGCGATCGGTGTTGATTCATCTGATGTATAAATTCGCTTTCACTAAGCATAGTTAGAGGTGACTGAATGAACACCTGCTCTGTACCATCAGCTTGCGACAAATAACCAATGAATCAAGTCAGTGCTGCTATCTTGCCAGACAAATCTGCTACCAATTCGCCCACGCTGTCGAGAAGGAAGGTTTGGTAAGCTCAGGGCATGGAATCAAACCAACGACCCACGTGTCTAATGCAGGGCGTCTCCGACAACTGCGCCACACGTGGTTTGGCGGTATTGTTCAAAAATGGCAGGCACCCATGTGGTTCACTGTTCAGATCTTCAGAAATCAACTTCACCTGGAGATTTAGGAGAATATACTTCGTGAGCAGAACATGCATAGGTCATTCAGGTAATAAGAAGAGTTGATGACAGTTGAGCCAAAAAACATTGGGCAAACTCCAAAAGGATGAAAGAATCTTCTAGAGCGAATATCTACAAGATGCGTGGTTTATATCTCGCAAACATCACCATGAAGGAAGAATTCAATAAGAATAAACGAATGGAAAATTTCATGAAGCGATTTACTTATGAAGACGAGTCATCCAAGTATCCATGGCTTTTTGTTCTTTACATTAAATGAACTCGTGCCTATTGTTGACTTCTAGGTTTGTAAAAGAGGTAATTTAAAAAGTTGCTCCATCTAAAGTTTTATACTAATCTATGCATGTTTAAGATTTTTTTGAACAAAATCATTCCATTGCAGGGATCGGTATGGCCTAAGTCACCAATGTTCCTCCTGGCCTCCATTTCGCTTGCAGCGTCTCTGTTCACATGTCTTCTTCCAGAAACCCATAAAAAGCCATTACCTGTCAGCCTGCGCCAGACCTCCGCGCATTCGCCGGTTCTCCAACCCTCCTGATGTCATTTGGTCACTTCTTACTCATATCGCGAACACTCATGTCACTCATGGATTTTCGTCTGATAAACTGTGACATTTTCAAACTCTTATAAAGCGAATGTTTTTTTCAACGGAAGAGATTTAATAAAATAATTATAGTGACACAATAGTCTTTTTGCCCGATTTGTCGTCAGGTTTTGATGTTGGAAATAGGCGAAACCCTTCATAGGCCTTCATAGTTTGTTTTCATAGATGAAGGGAATTTATACTAGTAGGATATATTTCGATATTTCCGATTCTCTCGATAATTTGGGCGTTTAGGCCATTTCAATCAGGAAGCACTTTTCAATTGTTTCGGTACTTTTTGATTTATACGTGTACTCCTCCCAACCTTCTAAGTGATGTCCGAAATTCCGAATTTAATGCTTTTGAAGCATAATTCGTCTATTTCGACAAATGCTCTAAGCGGAGAGATAAATCAGAACTATCAATGATCATAGCAGCAATTGAAACAGTCAAAAAGAAAGAACGACGGTGCCGATCGGAATGATCAAGGAGGAAGCGAGTAGAGCGGCGCTGGCAATGCAAAACTATTTAAGGAATTTTCGATGACGGCGGGGAATTGCCCAAAGTCGAATTAAAACAAAACGTATAGCTTATTGTTCGGGAAGAAATATAAGGTTTAAACACTAATCATTATAATGGAGAATGCTCATCGACAATGCAAATCTCGTGTCTTGCATCAATCCACTAGTGCGAGTCGTTCAAGGTCTGATGAATGCCTTAAACTTTTGCCTTCAAATCATATCTTAGCCCTAAGTAATCGTCCACCCATACTACATGTAATTTCGTCGTCGAGTAAACTATCCGTATGTTGGTACGGTTCGTTGATAAAGGAATACCAAGTAGTTAGGACAATTCGGTCGGAATTAGCTGCTCGCCTTTGTGTACGCCACGCGGGACTTCTTGTGATTAGCATTCACAATGCCGGATACCTAAAACTTGGGTAATTAAACCATTTATCATAATTATACAACAATCGTAACAATACAACTCTACAATTAATGCAACAATGATACGGGTTATGAGTAGGCGCAGCCAGATCACTGGTGTTCAGGTTGCTTATGAGTGAAGAGATTGGCATATGACTTTTACTACATGAGGTGGATGTGAGGCACGAATGCGGTGACTTGGGTAGCATTGCTGTGACATGAGCTAGCTAACCGTGGAGCCGTTTATATACCTTTGCGCTGGGCGGAGTCGGATTACAGTAGGCGGAGTCGGGCTATAGTAGGCAGAAAGACGAGTGCTGGAAACATTTCTCAAGCCTTGCGATCTGATAGGGCGATATTCAAAGCCTAGGACCGTAAGTGCAGATATTTTACGAGATAGGCGCCAGCGAAATGTTAGACATACGGCTATCAGATCGTCATGGAGAAAAGGTCATGGGAGAAGCATTTGAAATGTTTGGAAAGGTTATAATTGATTTACATAGAGAACATTCCAATATTCGTGAAGAATGTTCTCTATACTGTAATCATCGAGTGTCTCGGCCGGGCACCATGTGTCCTTATAGTGAGCAAAAGCCGCTTGTACTTTCTTGAAGGACATGAACGGCATCAAACTTCTTGCTGCTCACTGTTGGAACAAAGCTAACAAACGAAGCTCGCCGTGTTCAGTCATGCAGTGGGTTTACTCTTCACTACTTTTTGAAGGAAAATGTGGATTTTTTTCGGCCGATCTGTTTACTGATGAACTTTTACTCTAGTTCGAACTTCGATATTCTGGAGGACTTACTCTGGTACGCCACGATTGAACCACTAGGTAGCTGGGGCTGGGAATAACGCTCCTTACTATTCGAAACTGGCGTTCTTATAATATACACGTCTTTACCAAAGAACCACAAGACCAGTCACCACATCAATACAAAGCTTCGTATATCTCGAACCGAAGCGTTTTCTGGAAGCAATTTCATCAGCGGCTCGAATGTAAGATGCTTCCTTGGGGCTGCTGCCGAAGTGCTTAAAGACGTGATAGTGAAGCAGCGGCCCGAAATTCAGCAGGCTGTGGAAGGCAGAGTTTTGTATCTCAATTTCCATAATTTTTTACAGTGTCAGCTGGTTGTGCAACGTTTAGAGAATCCCGTGCAGGAGAACTGCTAACTACGCAAATAACCTGGTTTCTTGAGCACTTTTTCGCTTTTTAACAACAGTTCTATATTCCAGTTATTTCACAGAAATTATGAAAAAATATAACTTCATTGATGCTGAGATATTTCCAAAACCCCGCACCGCAGGTGTCTGCGATAGGTAACGAACGCGCTATTGTCCTGTTTGGGGAGTAACGCGTTCACCACCACACCATGTACGTTCTCTCCGGAAAGGACAATAGCGCGTTCGTTCCCCACCGCAGGCACCTGCGGTACGGAGTTTAGCAATTATCTCAGCATCATTGAAGTTATACTTCGCAATACACTCTGCCGTTAAAAAGAGTAGGCAGTAAATAGTAAGTTAAAATTATGAAAAAATAGATTTCTCTGCTTATTACCAAGGAGTTGGGGAGCGTGTAGAGCAGTGGTCCGAGTCACCGTACAATACACACAGGATCGACCACCGCGCTCAAGGCCAACCAAACTCTCCATCCCCTCGAGATCGGCAAACTGATACCAGACTCGTTATCGAGGTTAGCAGCACTGGCTCGATACACCGGTAGGCCACCGCGAATCATTGTAAAGGTGAGATATGCACTCAATCACCTCCAACAATGCTTAATGAAGTCGAATGCATGGCGCATCCTTCAGGCGTTGATCAACGCCGAGAGCTTTATCCTTTTATTTTATTTTCGTTATAAAAAAGTCACCACAAATCTTTCGATGAAGATTTGGTTTGGGTACGTCTGTCTCCATCTTTGGGTAAACGGTACTCACAACGCCTTCCATGAGCCATCAAAAGTGGACCCGATTTCCGACTGATATCAGGACTCCTTAAAAAACGCGGTCGTAGTCCTTTTTTTATAAAGACATGTTCAGTAGAAACTCTACCACTACAATGGTTGTCAGCTGAATTTAGCATTTCGAGTTAGCTGTCAAAAATGAAAAAACCGCTGACTCCAAAAGGAATGCTCTACTTCACACAAATTTGCCACGCGGAACTTTTTGACGTTGCCAGGCAGCAAAACAACCTGCAACGAAACTTTTCTACGCAATAATAAAAGGGCGCGTGTAGCTCAGTGGTCGGAGGTGCCCTTCATTACACATGGGATCGTTCCCTGCGCCCCAGACTCGCCAAACCTTTCGTCTGGGGTCGGCAAATTGGTACTAGACTTATCTGGGATAGTAGCCCTGGCTCGGTAGGCTAGCGCGAGTCATTGCAAAGAGCAGATATGCATTTCATTGCCTTAATTATGCTTAAAGAAGTTCAATGCACGGGCATCCCTCAGGGATTAGTCAACGCCGAAAGCTCTATCTTTTTAGCTTTATACAGTAATAACATAACCGCGATAATAAGATATGACGATATTTACTGATGCAACCACTATAAACGAAAAGACGATAACAGGATCAACTGAGGGTAAAATAAAGAGAGAGGAGTTCCCATGAAACAAGAAAGTACCCTCACAATACACTGTTGAAGTAGTGTGATGCATAAATATCACATGGAACACTTCACTAACGGTCCAAGGAACCAACATAGTAGGAGACATACATAAGACAGCAATGGTTTTAACCATTTTCTAGCCGTATATTTTGATTTCAACGCGCACTTCAAGTGCACTCCAATGACGTGCCGTCCGATGGGCCGGCTCCACGAGAATGGCGGAGATCGTGAAAGGGTTAAACCTTTGGTACTGTAACAATTGTTCAGTGCACAGGGTTGACAAGAACTGTTTCTCTTTCAACATTTTCAGGTAGGTACATAATTTTTTGACAATGTAATACTTTTGCGACCATTGTAGTCAATCGATGGATTGTCGAATACAGATTTTATACCGGGCGTGCTCTATGGATAAGTATTATCGGCTATTCTTGCAGAAACCTGCGTAATATACTATAATGAGCACATGCAGTAGAGTTTAACAATCGGAACATACAATGAGAGCTGAAGAAGCGAGAATGTGAAAGCCGTGACAACAGGAGGAAACGATGACTACTGCTTCCCTTTGTTCTGGAATGGACGTGATTCCTTTTCAGCTAGCGTCTTGCAGTAATGCAAATGTTGAGATGCAAAGAAGGCACACAGGCTATGCCATTGGATTTTCAAGTGTGATGTCATTGACATATCATGGAACAACTAGCATTTTCCAACCAGCTGCAGGGCAAAATCTAAGCTAGTTGACTTAGGCACATGCTATAACAGAGTTAGAGAAGTGTTTTGGAACGTGGGGATAAATGTGCCTAAAAGTTAGAACAGTTAGCATAGAAAACGTACGGTAATACAGAAAGTATTTTGCTATGCTATGATCACAACGATCTCAGCTTTCCATTCAATTCACGAGGCAAACCTTGGTATAGTTGTTTCTGCTTTAGCCCAAATGTCCAAAACTGTTCTTGCATTACTGTCCACAGTTTCAATAAGATTTGAAACCGTTCTTTAAACAATGCTCATTGCTCATCGGCTATGATATAATCCGGTCCTACTCATGCACGAAGCTTCCATCTTTGTGACGAAATTTCTCAAACGAACACGTCACCACCTAAAGTTCCTGAATAGTGATTCTGGTTATAAGCATTAATTTCTAAGCACTGAATTAAATAAAAGCCGTTTTTAAAAATATTACTGCATCGTTGGACCAGTCGAGAAGCTCCTCGGTATAGTTCGATGCTCGTCTACGTTTGAATTTTTGCTTAACAGTTGCTCAAGATAGCCGACTTATTTCACCAGCCTAAGTTGAATGTAGAGAAACAAGGCCATAAAGTCAGAAACACACCCGGCTTAAAAAAGTATGCACGAAAGCGTATAAAATCTTTTGTGAAAATGAGACGTAATCAAAGAGTGGAAACGCGTAGCGAATACAATCAAATTTCTGTGCAGCCTCTCTCGATGCAAAATCGATAGGAGTAGAATACGAGTGTGTTATCTTGAAAAGGATGGTTGATGGTTAATTTTGCAATGAGGCAGAGAATAAAGCATAAAGTACTCAGCGCTGAGCAACCCATCATGGTTGTGCCGTGTTTCCCACTTCATCGTGCATAGTAGATGCTACTGAATGCATATCTGCCCTAAACAGTGGCTTGCGATAGCCAATGAATTTGCCTAAGTCGGTGTTTTTATCTTCCCAGGCAAGCCTGAAATGGGTTTGGTGAGGCTGGTTGCGGGTTCGAATAAGCGACCGCGGCACGTGTATTGGATTATACGTTTAACCACTGCGCCACTCCTACCTTCACAACGAGGTAATAGAAATGTAATGAAAAAATGAGCATTTCGTGAATTTGACCAAAGAATGACAATTTTACTCAACCACAGGGTTGGAAAGAACACCTCCACCAAAATATTCGTCATCACCTCCTTTATGCCAGCAACCACAGCTGTGTGTGTGTTTTGCCGTTAAACTTTTCCCAAAGCATGATTTTCATTTCGCCTTTATGTCTATTCAAGATAGCCTTAACAGTTTTCGTTCTGATCAGCTTTCGTGTTTGTTATCACCTTGTGCCTAAGCATCTCCTAATATTTCCCTTGCTTTCCGTGAAATTCGAGATGAAAATATCATAACTCCTTATGAAATTCTGTCTTGAATAAGCGCTCATTAGTCATGTTGTTACCGTTGATTCATTCCAATAACGGCCAAAGGAATTTCAAGAGGAGATTAACCACTGTTACACCAACAGCCAACCACTGACGGTCAACACTAATTTCTCCAATAGTAGTTTATCACTGAGAACTTCGCCCCTCTCAATGGTACTTGTTTCTAGCCATAAATGTTTTTCATTGGTATCCAGTGTTTTAATGATTTCTTCTATTTATATATTCAAGTACTTCTAATTAACCGACTTTCACTTAATCTCGGCCTGAATAATTAGTATATCCCTTTGGATTGTTAAGCTTACACGAGGTTGTTACTAAACGTTTCGGCTGACGTTTCTTGGTTTTCGTCTTGCTCAGAACCGATGATCTAAGTCGATGCCCATAGCCGTTCATCTTCTCGATGTGGTGTCTTTCTCTTCGTATCGAGTCAAATCACGTCTTGTCGTGTCGAATCCACGGGATGGATTGTCGACATGCAAAGAAATCGTTATCACTCCACAATCAGCCAACAACCGTTCTGCATAAAAAAGCGCTACCGGGTGAGGTGTTCTCATTTTGGTGGTGTTCCACTGACCAGTCTTCGACTCGATACAACGGCGAAGGCACATCGAGAAGACGATCAACCGATGTCGAACCAGTGCTGGCGTTGATTCAGAGCCGAAGCACTATTGATTCCGAATATCGAACACGTTTCCACTTCCGCTGCAGTTTCGATGTTGTGTCGGCGCCCCGTCAGGAAAATTCTAGAAGCTTCTAAGTAAACTGAATTACGAAGTTTCGTGTAAGAGAGAAGGTGGTCTAGGCAGAAATTCATACGAAAAAGTGCCGTCGAAGCTTAATTTTAGCCAATTGACCCTTTTTCTAATGGCACTTCACCCTATTATTGCTCGGAAACAAGATCAAAGAAGACGAAATACAGAGAAAAACCTCTATACTGTCAAACTAGAGTCAAGGTCAATAGGGTCTTCTTTCCCGCTATTTTTGCCAAGCCCGTTCCCTTGCCTGTGGTTTCGCTAGATAGTATGGTATGGACAGTGGGAACACATTCGAACTTGATTACGTAGTTCAGAGATCGAGCTAGAGCCCTCTTCTCTAGTTAAGGAACAGACTTCCTGGAAGCGGTTAAGCCGTAGATAAGAACATCGTTTCCGTAAAGCATAGCGATCTCTGTGATGTCTCGTATTCTCTGCACGACCCCAGAAAAATTAATGAAGGTTATAATCTGTGCTACATCTTACCGATATCCGCATCTGGTCTCCAAAGAGGTGTGAAGTACTGCCAACTTTCCCACTGGTGTAATTCGTGTGCTGAAATAAACAATTCCAACACTGCCCTTTAACTCCTCTATCAATTTTCAAATGGCCATAAACTTTTCGCTATTCAAGGGTTTACCCTTCCACAGTTATGGATAGTTTCCTAACAATAGTTGATTCACTCATCAGCATGACCGCTTCCTCATGTCGCGCTCCAACGCTGGCGTCCAGCGCGCCAAATACATAAATTCAAAACTCGTTTGTTCTTCCGTCTAACGTGTGTGATTTCTTCTATTTCATGAAATGATTGGTGTCTCTCTTATGTTTGGCGAACTATTGAACGCTTAAGGCATGTTTTGGATTTAATAGTGGCCACCTTTAATGCTGTAATCTGGAATGTGTAGAAGCTTTTAGTGGCAGTGTTAAAGCTAAAAGGAAGCTATTCTTTCCAGATACTCCTTGCAGATGATTACATGGCGGCGGCGATCGTCTTGTAATGGTTTGCTGTCAGGAGATCCGACGTGTGCTCCTCCGAAACCTCCAAGGGGCTGTCTGAGAGGTCAACCGGTTAAGATTGAACCTCTACGAACCATGGATAATGGTGGGAATGAGCAGCAATCAGCTACTTCACCAGGTATCATGTTACATTTTCCAGAGTTCGTTTGTGTGAAGAATTAACGACTCGGTTTTAGTTCGGTCCTCGTGTGCCTTCGCGGCTGCAAAGAAATATCGAAAGATGAAGGATTACTTCCGACATGCTGTGCAGAAGAGGTCCGTTAAGCATCACCCTTAGTATTTTTCCCTGATTTTCGTATCTGGTTGTAGAGAAGATGGCGTGTTTTCGGGATTCGATGCGGTTAATATTCTGGAAGAATACTTGCAGGCGAACCGGGAACAGTTCACTTCTACCATTACAAAGGAAAACGCCTTGAAGGTCGTTTAAGATCTCAATTCCTAAAGAGCAGTGGATTTACGACGTTCAAAAAACGGTTACGACCAACGATAATTGCATAATTTTGTTAACAACCTCGGGTCTGCTTATTGGAGAAAAAACATTGAATTATCAATTAATGCCGAGGTTAACAGAAAGTCGGTCTTGGGGATAATTGCATAATGTATGTTCTGTGACAGTAGTACTGTTCTGTGTAGTTGTGCTGTTTCTTTTTTACTCCTAGGACAATATTTCTTGGGATAGTTTGAGTGAGGAGTAAAATGCGTCTGTGTATATGTACATATCCTCCCAACGGTTTACCTCCTCATCGTGGCTGGGAGGTGTTCCTGGGTGCCGGGCTGACTTGTACAGCGGGGAGATTTATCCCCTCACCAACCAGCGTTTCTACCATGAAGCCCAACTAAGAGTAAACCAATACCAGGATCCACCATCGTCCCGGTATCAAACTCGTCGCATGGTTGCGAATCTTCCTCTGATCCACAAGGGCGGCGACTGCCTGTGCTGATGGCGACCTGGGGCACATTTTGGCCAGGCTGACCTCGGGACCCCAGGGAACCACAATGGCTAAACCAGCAAAACTCCGTAAATATGGAGGGTGTGCTGAGGTCCGCACAACCAGCGAGGATGGGTTATTCAAGTATTAAGTACCAAGTATATATATATATATTATATATATACATATACATACGCATATATATGTATATATATACATACATATGTATACCACTGCAACCTTCTTGAGTTTTTGAAATATTCGTTTATAATTTTTTACTTTTTCACTTTGGCATGTTTATTTTCTCATCTGAGCGTTACTCTGGCGTGCTAAAAGCTTCCAAAGTTATAGGTCCTAGAGATGTGGTTGCGTGAAAATGTGATTCGCCCAATTAACTCGCCCGTCAGAGATTCTCCTCCTCTCTTCTGTGATAGCAAAAAGGTCATGTACGCGATGAATCCAGAGCAAGACCATAAGTAAGTTCCTTCTTCTGCTAATGTTCTTGTCTTTTTGTTTTTGTATGGCAAGAAGTTTACATTCGTTGTTTTCTCATGTGCCAGAGATGCCTTATAGATGACAGGTTGGGTTAGAATTAACGCTAAGTGGGAATCCATCAGGTTCTCTGAACATAGAATACCCTGCTTATGTCCTTTCATGGATTTGGGACGTGTAGATGGAAGCTTAGAGGTCACGTAGACATAGTAGTTCAGCGGCAATCTCAATTGCAACGTTTTTCTTTGCGACAAAACGTTCATAGCACTTCATCTACCTATAAAGACAAAGTGGTTCCAACTATATACTTCGCGCTATTCTGTGTTCAATGTGGTTCAAATCTTGGTTTTGCATTTTTTTTTGTTTGGTTATGGAGGTGTTTGACTGAGTAGAGTGCTGTCACCTTGACCTCTCAAGCTTCTCGGGCGGGGGAAATTTGCCGAAATCGCAAATAAATAAGTAAAATAGCAACTCATGTTTGCTCAGCAAGAATCTAAAGAATCGTTCGATCAATGCCAAAGTTAATATAAACTCGGTCATGGGTATATAGTGCATGGTCTTTCACGTTTGTTTTTGTTGGCGGATCTAGTCCAACCATAGCCGCTTGTCCTTCGTTGCTATTTCGTAGTTCAAATATCCTAGCAGGTAAAACTGTATGTATGCGTCATCACATTTAGTTACGGCCTTAGTGATCTAGAAATGTAACTTCATATCTGACGCGTAAGCTCAAGCAAGTGCAAAAAGATCTGTAGCTATGTTCTGTCGCAGTAATAACCACAAGTACCCAGACTCTTCCTGTTTTCCTTTTCGCACGCTATTGTCATAATTAACCATTTCCATTACTCTTTGAAACTGACTGTGCGTTACCACTAATTTATCTCGACGTATTTTATATCTCTATAGCTGCTTCTTTAGACCACTCGGCCATAATGACGCAGTGGTTCGAGGCGCCACTGCGACACACACGTGAAATCGATCCCTGAGCCCATGGGCCACCAAACCTTCCATCTATCCGGGGTCAGCAATTTGGTACCAGACTTGTCTGGAAGGATAGCAGCACTGGCTCGATAATCGGTAGGCCACCGTGAGGTATTGTAAAGGCCAGATATGCATTCAATCACGCTCAAATGATGCTCCAAGTCGGATGCATGGCGCATACATGAGGGATTGATCAGAGCCGAGAGCTTTATCCTTTTTATTTACGGTTGTTTTCAAGGGGCAAACGAATTTGTGATCAGCAGTTCAGAACTGTGCTTATATTGCCAGTATTATTTTTTTTCAGCAGTTTGCGGAAGGCAGAGCATGGTACGCACTGTATTAACTTATATTTAGTGAGTATTGTTTTTTCGTAGTAGGGTATGATGTTAAGTATAACCACAAGCATGCTGGTATGTGAGCAAAACTCGAGACATCGGTTGGGCATCAAGCCCACGGTTACCCTTACAGGGGTTCACGTGCTATCCACCTCAGTAAGCGGAATCGTTGCTTTGTCTTTACTGTCATCAATGTTTTTAGTCTATCGGTGCTATCATTCCCGTTGACGGGTGATATCTCTTTCAGCATCCTTGAAGTTATGTACAATTAGCTGGATCTCCTGTTTTCGCTGAAAATAAATTTCTTCTGAGTCCTCAAAGATACATTAAGTTGATACATTCATACATATATACATTGATTTGGTTTACATTCCAAAGTCCAGCAACATTATTTAGCTAATACGTTATGGTGAACCTTCGCAACAGCAAACAGTTCCGTTGATTATTTTGTGGTTGACCGCATATCTCGTGAAGTCAATTTCGTTTGATGAAGTTTGGAACGACTTGGTGTTGTAAGCAGCTGCGGAGAAATTGTATAGTCTTTCGAGCCAAGACAACTTTTTTGTCTTAGTGACAGTGGTTTTTTTTTTTACAACTCGGAAGTATTTTGCTGGCCCGTCTTGTGGTAATTCCGATGACCGACTTCCAATTTGTCTATTTAGTGGTTACTAGAAAGTACTGTTGATATTCTACCAAAAATTGGTTTTCTGTCATCGATTCATCATGATATATGTATAAGAAGCGGCAGGCTTAAATTTCAGTACATGTGAGGACCACTAACCTTTCGTGTAATAGATTTTGTGCTTGTTAGTTACATGGTTGATTTGTACTTTGAGTATACACGTTACATCCATGTATATGTAAACGGCTGCTCTTGGCTTTGTACAGAATATGTCTTGTGCCTCCATTTAGCCATTAGCTCAAAATCAGATGAGTGAATGATTGGCGTCAAACGAAACAAGTAATCTCCGCGACTACTTCTGCGAAGTGTAAACAGCAGTTTGTAGGTTCACCCGTTTCTCTACGGTAGAGCCTGAAGTGTTACACATGAGCACTCATTCACGAGATAAAAATAAAAGGACTCATTCGAAGTGTAATATTCTACGAGTCGTTTAAGCAGGACTTAGGGTTATGGGCTGCTCTAGGGCGCAAGGGGCAAATGGAGGCGCCATTAGTAGCGATGAAGTTATTCATTTTTTGAATGAATTACAATAGGGTTTGCACTTTGTCTACAGGTTATACATTTGCTCTACACCTCTGAATAGTATCAAGCAAGTTGACAGGAAGCCGTCTCGTTCAAATTCCTTCAAGCGATTCTTTTCTCCAAGTAGAGGTGAGCCTAGTCTATTAAAATGTAATTATGTTGTTTTCTCGTCGTTTCTACTTGAAACATGGCTCTGTTATGATTTCGCGGTTGTAGCTAAAAATACGGACGAAAACACATCGCTGTGCAGTGTCTCTACGAGTAGACCCTCATCTAGAGCTAGTGATTACACGCAGACTACACAGCAACCTTCTAGGCTTTCAAGTATTCTTAACCTGCCTTACCGTATTTTCAACACCGAAAATCGTTCCATCGATGGTAAATTTTTGGTCCTGTCTCGCACTTTAAAATTTCTGCAAAGTCGAGTTTTCGCTTTTGCTTTCAGAAGAGGCCGAACTGCATGATGCTGCGTTATTTCGTCTCCTAACTATTGTGGATATACCAATGCTTGATGAACTCATTGCTGTGCCGGGGCAACCAACGGTTAGAATGTAGTTGCTGTATGTTTCAGTTGCCTTGTAAATGTTGCCGTCTTTTCAAGAGAAGCGCGTCTATTGTATCAACCATACTTTCGAAAATTGGTCTTGGAGGTGTTACAGCGGAAACTATTGCATCTAGAGATGAAGAAATGGACGACCTACTAGTCAATACACCACGTATTCGGTTCGTTTTTTAGTAGCCTTGTCGCAGACGATGTTTAGAATATGTTTCTTAGAACATCAACATTTTATTTTAGCCCGATCCTTCCATGGTTCCAGCTTGCTAGAATTTGTGCTCCAACTCTTTATTTTCAATCTAATGGAAATCCAAATAGAATGGAAATTCACAATTGGGCGAAGTCGGCACTGCAGGCTGTAAGTTGTCGTGATACTAAAAATTCTGAATGCGTCGTTTTCTTGTTCAACAATCACGAGGTTTTTAAACAGTATACATTTACTTCCATAGAGAAACACAATACAATACAACACTAGCTGATGTTTCGCCAGTATCGCCTTTTTCAAAGCCTGGAAGGGTATACTGACATACAATCTACTACGTCAAACGCTTCAATAACACTTACAAAAAGACGAAAATTTTTTTGGTAATTACATGATCAACAGTTTCTCGAAAAACTCACTGCTTTTTACGTGACTTCCAATGAGGAAGTTTAGCACAGCTGATTATAGTCACATGTGGTTGCCGACTGCACCATCTCACATCAGAAATTGGTGCGAACATACGGGATCAGGTCGCGTATGACATCCCGGCATTCATCCCTGCTATTCATTGTAGGGTTTTTGGCATTTATCCAAAAGCCTCAAGAAGTTTTCGCGCTGGTGTTTTGGACTCCTGTGCAAGGATATTGACTTTTACTTCAAAATCGTCTCCGCTATGCTTTTGTATCCTATGCGTGCCTAGTGAGGTGCTTCGTCTTAGTTTTCGTTTGCCATCTAGGTGTTCTTTTATACGGTTACACAAAGGTCTGCCTGTTTCGCTAATATATTCATCTCCGCAATTATTACAAGAGATCAGGTATATCGTATCTGAACTCATGCAATCACCGTCCCTGCTGTAAAGGCAAATTACGCAATTTGTTGTTTCACACAGACGGTCATACATCTACATCACACATCTACATACATCAGGTCATACCTCTACATACATCAGACTATAATCAGCTGTTCCAAACTTCCTCAGTGGAAGTCGCGAAAAAACGGTGAGTTTTTCAAGAAGCTGTTGATCATGTAATTACCATAGAGTTTTTCTTTTTGTAAGTGTTATTGAAGCGTTTGGCCTAGTTGATTGTATATTAGTTTACCCTTCCAGTCTCTGAAGAAGGCGATACTACCGAAACGTCAGCTAGTGTTATACTGCATTGTGTTTTTCTATGGAAGTAAATGTATGCTGTTTAAAAACCTCGCGATTGCTGAACAAGAAAACGACGCATTCATATTCCAATGCTGAGGTTAATAGAAAGTCGATCCTGAGAACTAAAAATTCTATTTCGTGTTAGTGAAGAATATGAGAGAAAAACTGTAATGTTGAGAGGGGAACTGTTTCGTTGGAAAGTTTCTTCGAAGTAGGTGTTGTACTCTTCCTCACTAGTTTTGTAGATAATTTTCATGACATGTTTAACATGTTATACAAGGGTACGTGTGGCGCAGTGGGGTCGATCCCAACGTCCAAGGCTCACCACGTCTTCCATCCCTCCGGAGTCGGCAAATTTTTATCAGACTTGTCTGGGAGGATAGCAGCACTGGCTCGATACATGGATAAGCCACCACGACTCATTGTAAAGGTCAGATAGGCATTTAGCCACCTCCGGCGACGCTTAGTGAAGTCGAATGCATGGCGCATCCCTCAGGGATTGATCAATGCTGAGAGCTTTGTCCTTTTATACTTTTTAAGATGTTCTACGACTTGCTTACAGTTTGATAACGCTTTACTACTTCTTTCACGAAGGAATTTTAACGTTCACACATTCTATTAGTTTCTAAACTTTCAGCACCAATAGTGATGCTCATAGTGCTTTTGCTGTGATAAAGAGGTCTTCAATTTAAGTTGAAATGTTCTAAATTAATTAAAATTCACCATATTGAAGGTCAGTGAGCGGTATGCATTAATTACACATCGCGGGTCGTCGCCGCTTATTCCAACGGAGTTCTCTCCCATTCTGGATGCAATTGTGAGCCAACTACTGGGAAAGAATCAGATGAAGACCAAACTGGCTTTGCAGTGAGTTGTCATTCGATGGTCTAAGAAGTAAATTCTATCTGTAAAACATCCAATTTAGATATCTCTTTCTTATGATTCCTCAGCAGTTGCGTGATCATCTCAGTAATGTACTCCAGTTACTTGAGCAGACTACAGGGACCGACGTGTTTGTCTCATTGCGAAACCCGTATTATTTGGGGAAAAAGGTTCGTGTTCCATGAGTATTCTGTATTTGGTTTTGTGTAAAGCTCATGCGAAAAAAGTGTTTCTTTTTCTTTGAGAGGGATTTCTTTGTAGTTTTAAAATGACTAGCGACATTATCTTTTTAAAATTCCACATTTGTAGTTCTAAATTAGCAAGAGTTTTGACTCACTTTTCCTCTCTTACCCCGTAATGATCAACTTCTCAGTTTTTACCGGAACTCGAACATTTTTTGACTTTTTTCGAAGCTTCTTCCGAGAAGATGAGCGATCCAACTGTGAGAATCGTATTTAGAAGCATATGATGTTTCCTAATATTCCCGAAAAAATCTTTGTTTCCAGCTGATAGGTTTCCGCTGAGAGCGTTCAAAACTGTTTTTTTAATTCTTCGTATTTTTGTTGAGCAAACGCGAGGTGTTATTGTCTTTATTCACGAATAAGCTGATGTTTCGGCGGATTTCGCCTTCCTCAGAGCCTGGAAAGGTCAAGTTGACAGCAATCTACTCGGCCAGACGCCTCCATAACCAAACGAAGAAACTCTAAACCAAGATTTCAATCACGTTGAACACAGCTTTGCACACTCACCGCTTTCTATGAGGTTTCCACTAAGTATGTCACGTAGAGACCAACCGCACAGAAATCACATAGAAGTATAATGTGCCCCTCCCATCAGAATAGCAGTCTTATATACTGCCCTATATCACGCGTGATAATGAGGCATTCTTCCCTGCGGTTCATTTTCGGATTTCTGGAATTAATCCAGAATGCCTTGAGAGTTTTTCGCGCCTGTGTTCTTGATTCGCGTGCGAGGATGGTGACACATACTTCAAAGTCATCCCCGTTATGTCTCTGGATTCTATGCGTGCCTAGCGGTGTATTTGGTCTATGTTTGCAGGCTAGGTGTTCTTTTATGCGGACACAGAGGGGTCTACCCGTTTCGCCAATGTATTCGTCACCGCACGTCTTACAGGAGATCAGATAAACTATACCCGAGCTCATGCAATCACCGTCTCTACCACTGAGGCAAATTATGCAATCGCTAGAGTTGTCGTTTGGAGGCCTACGATTTCCTCTACACCTATCCTGAGCTACAGTTTCGTAGCCATTAATATGTGATTACTTATAGGAAAATAAAAGTACGCATTACGGGAGGAGGGGCACATTACGCTTCCATGTGATTTCTGTGCGGTTGGTCTCTACGTGACATACTTAGTGGAAACCTCATAGAAAGCGGTGAGTGTGCAAAGCTGTGTTCAGCGTGATTGAAATCTTGGTTTAGAGTTTCTTTGTTTGGTTATGGAGGCGTCTGGCCGAGTAGATTGCTGTCAACTTGACTTTTCCAGGCTCGGAGGAAGGCGAAATCCGCTGAAACGTCAGCTTATTCGTGAATAAAGAACAATAACACCTCGCGTTTGCTCAACAAAAATACGAAAAATTACTTGATCAATACCGAGGTTAATAGAAAGTCGGTCGTGGGAGTTACTGTTTTTTTAAGTTGTTTGAACATTTTAGCTTTAAACAATTTTAAAATAAAATTTAGAAAGGTTGTATTTATTTCCTTGGACATAGTACGAAGTCTTTTCAACAAGTTTTTCAAGTCCTTATTTCATCATTTACTGTGGTAATTGAGGAATTATCGCTAATCGATGAAGGAGTCGCTCTGTCGTGATATTGTTAATTCAACCACAACGTTGCTGAGATATTTGCAAAACTCTGGACCGCAGGTGTCTATGGTGGGGAACGAACGCGCTATTGT